GAACAGGTTTCACAAGTCACTTTGTAGCTACACTTTCCATGGCGTGGCTTGAGGCATAACCAGCAGAGTTTATTTTCTTTGATAGTGTCAACTCTTTCTTGTGATGGCATTATCTTTCGCTTTTCACATTTTCTTGTGTAGTGTTTAGCATTTGGATGGAGAATACACAGAGGGACAGTTTTTCATTCAGTACTGACCATAGTTGTGCCTTTCCTTTTGGTGTTGGTGAACTTCTCTTCTGCTTTGAAAGTGGTGTAAACCTTTTCAATGATTGTGGTCTCCCTTTCGAGCCAGTTGTAAAGGTCTTCCAAAGTAGGACGGCTGGGCTTGGATGACATATCTCTCTTCCATTTAAGTTGTAGGTCCATAGGCAGCTTCTCCAGAATTTGGATTACATTAGATCTAGATACCAATTCAGCCTTTTAAGGCTTAAAAGATTCAGAGAATGGTATGTGGAGATAATGGCTGACAAGGTGTCTGTAATCGAGCGCATGGATGATGGYTTTCTCTTGRCCACTTTTGGATGATCCTTTAGTTTTMTCTKATTTGCTAGAATTACTTGTGAAGTTTGACCAYACCTTAGCTTGAGTGTGTCCATYGCWTKAYCATATCTGTCACTTCCTGGCATGTATCCTTTCAATGCTTGTTCTGCACGTCCTTCTGCCGAGTTGAGTAGTATCTGTAATAATTCCTTTCTGCTGTAACATTGATCTTCTTCTAAGCCAGCAAATCTTGCTTGGAATTGGGCGAACTTGTCAGGGTTACCATCAAATTTTTTAATGTTCATCGGTTTCATTCTCTGCAATGAACGAGCAAAGAGTTGAAAGCTAACTGTAGCTTGAAGTGTATGATCTGTTTGATTTGGCCTGGGCATATAGTACTGTTGTGGATTGTTATAAGGACTTCTATAAGGCCTGTCATTAGGGTTGTCATGGTTACATGCATGATAGCTATTTTGTTCCAGTTGACTGGGATACTRTTGTGGTGCAAAGTTATAGCTATAAGGGTTATAGCCCTGTGGTGAGGGACTGTATCTGTTGCAATGTGAGGCATTGGCTGTAATATCTTTATCTTGGGGTCATGAGGATTTTGACATATTTGAAACATTTGGTTTAGGCGTAGTACCCACACCATTTTGAATTTCATTTGTATTTGACTATTACTATGTGAATCGACGTTGGCTAAGAGCGCTGTCATAATTTCATTTGAATTGTATAGTAAAAGAATGTGTTTCTTAATGTTTACAAGCTTGTAAAAGGTAAGAAAAAAAGGAGTCTAGAAATGAGCTAGACAAATAGCTGTAAAAGCGTTTCCTGGATTTCTCCATAAAACGCATAAATTAAATTCGATTTTCACAAAATTTACTCAATATGAATATGAATCCCTTGTTAATCATGTAGTAAAATAGTATTACGATCTGACCAACTTATATTACTTTTTTACCCGTTTCTTTCGTCCCGGTCGGTGTTCTAAACAACTGTATCCAGATAGCTTAACGTACTGCGATGGTTCAGTTGTTTTCGGCAAATATCGATTCAATCCACAGCATTATCACAGGAAACCCATCATGGTGAACCTGATGTATTTACCGATCGCAAAAATTAAAAGAATTTCTTAAAAAATCAAACTTTATTCACTTTATGTTTCTTATTATTAGAAAAAGGAGAAAAGAAAAAATCTCCAAAGCATCTGAAAAAAATGTTCTGTCGACACTAGACTCGAACAGCGGACCCAGTTTTCATCAAAGTGGCACCGTGGCCGAATGGTTTAAGGCGGTGGAGTATAAGGCCATGTTTAGGGAAATCTATATTCAGCGGGACTTGAGGAATATGAATGTAATTTGCATAGCTAATTACAAAAATTGCATAGGAAGACCATGATGACGAAAAATARACCTATTTCAAAAAACGTTGTCGTCGCCAGCAATCAGTCCACAGTCTTGAGACTGCAAAGAATCTCGGGATTGCCATATATTATGTGTTCAATTTCAGTTATACTCCGATTTAGAGTTCTGGTTTGCTCTGTGTTAGCTCCAAAACCAATCAACATATTCTTTTGTTTCATTGATAGCCCGAGAAAACGCATTCGGAATTTGAAAAGGGAGACAATAGAATTGATTTGAAATCTCACACTTTTATTCTCACAATTAGGGAATATTTTGCGAACAAATTAGGCTAACACAGAGCATTGAAGAATACGAAACTGGATTATTCTCGGTCTCATAGCGAATATAGCTTAGAAACTTATTGACGTTTTAAAAACGTGGAATACAGCTATTTCAAAAAACGTTGTCGGAGAGAATGGCGATTGGTTATTGGTGATTGCACGACCGAAAGGAATTATGGCGGTTTTGCATATTTTACAACAACTAATTAAAATGCGTTCCCGCTCTTGTTCAAAATGGATAAGACAACTGTGAACGTTTGCCTTCGCGTTTTTGACGCAGATAATAAGAAAAGTTCTAAAGTGTTTTATTTGAAAGACGTTCCGAGGTTTGACAATGTTGAAAGCCTCAAAACATACCTTCTAAACAATCACAGTGATGAAGCAAGCATCGAAGATGACTATAATTTTCAATTGGGTTATTGCGTTGGAAACCGCCGCTTCAGTATT